AACTTTGCTAGAAAACTCCCAAATCTCGAACGGCTCAGCTTGGGTTGGGTGAATGCAAATGGATTTAATCTCCTACTCCCATTCCTTCAACATTGTGCCAAACTGAATAAAGTGAAATTTTCGTCGAAGAAAGTGCCTACTTGGCAGCAAAATGGTCGAACGAAACCATCAACTTAAAATTCATTGAGTTAAGACGGGCCGATTCATTTGAATGGAATGAATTTGTTCAATGAATGCAAACCCGCCAACGAACGCGCTCAATGAAAGCAATCAACCGAAACTATTCGTGCCACGGCTACAACAATAGAAAATATGCCTTAGGTTCAACTAAAACGTTCAAAGCAATACCATTCAAATGCAATTTACTTAGGTGTCATACGACATACATAGATCACATCATTTTTGAGCGAACATTGCATTCTAATGCAATCATAAATAAAACAAGTATATAATATCCATTCATGTAACTCATCTCTGCTATTAAACCAATAAAATCATTGGAGCATTTAATTTTCATAAAAAAAAATCAGTGAGTAATTCAGTTCCATAATTCTGCAACTTGAATTGAGCTCTAAGTTTGTATGCAAATCGATGCTGAGTATTTTCATTATCACGCATCTCTTATCAATTTCGTAAAAAACCGCAATAAACCTCTAAAAATGAACATACTCCTCTCTAACATTTTGAAGTCGAAAGAAGTCTTCTCTTTCATGACAAATTATTGAAACACACTATACTCGAAAGTCTTCGACGGCCAACACAACATACATACACCGTACAAAACTACCGATATTTTTACAACGTAGCAAAACATTTTATTTCTATTTTTGAACGGAACACAGCTTACCTTCCCACTACGAAATTCATACGGAGAACAAAACGCGTTCATCTGGATGGAAAACACTGTTTTTCTACACAGATAATTCCAGAAAAGTGGAAGAAAATCGGCTGAGTTCTTTTTAAAGAGCAAAACTGAATGGGGAATCAGCAAAAGTGCACGTCAATTATATCAATTTGCTATTTAATTTCCATTTAAAAAAAGGCAATCTCTTAACGTACATCGTCACATTCAAGTCAAGCGTATAAGTGATTAATGGAAATATGAATTTTAACGCGCAGTGGCGCTTCTAAATACCTCATTAGTGTGCCTTTTCATCAATTTGTTTCTTTCTCAATAAAAATTCAAACGGGCACGAAATTGGAGGATTAATCAATTCAAATAATTGCTACAACTAACCAGCTCAATTTTGGCCAAGAATTAGATTTTTTTTTCAGTTAGACACTAGGGTGAATCGATTCGATTTTTAAAATCTTTGAATATAGGTAAGGTATTATGTTCATAACCGGGACTTGCCTTAATCGAAAGAGTGCTCCAATACAAGAGACTTATGTTCACCACTCGGGCTTCATTCTTGGACGAGTGGTCTGGGACGATTCTGTGTGTACCACACGCACTGTGTGAGAAGTAGCAATTTTCGGCTCTTAAAAAAATATGGGGTTGACGCTGAGTTCGTCATTTATCACTTTTCGACGTTCAAAATAATGTGGAATGACTTAAAATGAGATTTTCTAGGACTTTTGGTCACACTATCTTGACAGTCGGAAATTGATAATTTGACGAACTCGGCAACAATCTCATTTTTTTTTTTGAAGACCCATGTTAACCCTCTAATGCATACACTCGCCTCTAGACGGGCAACATTTGAATGCCTGTAGAACGTAAACCGTACATCGGATCACATTGCTTCAAAGGGAATTTTATTCGTCAATGTTTTCTCTTCATTTTTGTCTTTGGCAATATTCGTCTATGTAGTGTGATTGTAAAGCTATTAACAAAAATGTGTGCAAAAACAAAAATTTGACAAAATAAATTATTCGAACTCCAAATTAGACAAATGTTTGACACTTTTAAACAATGGATTTGATTGTTCTCTGATTTATGTCAATCGCATTTCCTGACTAAACCATGAGGAATCCAGGATTATGAATATTTTTTAAATTATCTATGGCCAAAAATCAACCAAGTACCAGTACTTCCAGCCCTGGAAAAAGTTAATGCATTAGAGGGTTAAGAAATAAAAGTTGATTGTGTATTGAGGCTCTGTTTCGATTAAAGCATGTTCTGGATGTGGCTATTATATTTTTAAAAGTCTATCCACTCTAGTGTCTGCCTGAAAAAAATCTAATTCGTAGCCCAAATTAACCTTCAGTTTGAAATTTTGATAATCCGGTATTTTCCATGGAATCAATTAGAACGGATAGTATAGATATGAGCATTTGAAAAAAAAATTCTTAGACAAGTTCAACTTTGTTCGAAAAGGTCATGAATTTGAATGAAATCGATTTTTTACCAATAGCCATTTCACAGAAGAAAAAAACCAATTAAATGTTTCTCGATGATTTTTACAAATATACCTTTGTGCACCCCTATTGCATTAATACTGATTGTTTTTGTGCATCCAATGAATTTAACTGAATGAAAAACGTATAGACTTTCCAGGTGCATAATATCACGTGTGCATGCACTCAAACCACTGCTTTTCTTTTAATATTTCAACTTGCAATATATTTGAATGTCCGAGAATGAAAACGCAACTTCTATTCACAACACATATAAGTGAAACAAAAATAAAAAAATTTATTGAAATGAAACAACACAATCGAATTTTTTCAAAAATCTTTTTTGTTGTTACACTTTGAAAAAATTCGATTGTGTTGTTTCATTTCAATAAAATTTTTTATTTTTGTTTCACTTATATGTGTTGTGAATAGAAGTTGCGTTTTCATTCTCGGACATTCATTTATACTCGAGTCATGGAACATTTCAATTTAGTTCTGTTGAACAAGCCATTCACTGCAAATAAATTCGAAATATCAGGCAATTAAAAAAGATTTTATGACTCGGAGCCCAAGAGGAAAATGGAAATTTACATTTCGAAACGGTCAACGGGCGTTCATCATCAGCACTGACACGAATCTCGATTTATGCCGGTGATTTGTGAGACAAAAAAACGACAACACACCAACACAACGCAAAACAGCTGGATCAGCAACAACAAAACATTCACCGCATCAAATCAATGCAAATAAGCAGGACTGTATGCCCCGCTTTCCGCATTCAATGGTGCTTTCTCTTTCTCGATGTAATAACTTTCATACGCATCGAGTCTGCTCTGTCTATTGACATTTTTAATCAGTTCGATGCTATGGTCACCTCCATCGATTCCGTGCTCACTCTCCACTACATGTTTAGCAAACGCAGACTCTCTCATTTTCTTTTTTTTGCACAACTACAATGCTCTTTATATCGAACTGCTATGCTTCTTTTCGTTTGCCCAATATAGCGGCGCTTGCACACACCTCACTCAATAACACCGGTTTATTCAAATAATCACAAAATTAAAAATCGTTTCGCGTCGACAAAAGATTAAATTGGTGATAATTTGAAATCGGGCATTTATGCGATTGAGTGTGTGAATTAACTTCGGGCACGGCTTCGCCGCTTTTTTCGGTGGGTACGGTTTTCGGTGAGTATCCATTTAAACCACAGACAACCAAATTCATTCATCATGGCAAATCCAATGTTTGTTTTTGGTCCACAATCCATTCATCAAATGCTTCAATATCTTCCCACTCATTTCGACTTTGAAGGTGCTCGAATTCCCTTTGCGAAAAAACTTAAAATAAACGATGTACATTGGACATCAATTCACACATTCAAAACAATTGCCTGGAAGATTTTTGATCTTCTTAAAAAGAAACGCTTACTTGTAGTCAGGATTGGCATCTTTGTGTGAATCACACATGCAATTTTTTTAACACTTTTCCAAAATGAAATGTGAAATACGACGTCTTTCAACTATATGCATATCCCGAACCCGGCACAGAATGCAGAAAAACAAAACACAGAAATCCAAAAAAGCAGAATGAGTCTCTTTTTCAATAGCTTCTTTGGAAGTAACCGTTGTCTTTAAGCCAGTAAAAAAAGATAAAACGTTTCAAATCGATCACATAATCACAAAATCGGTATAGAGCAGTGCTGTCCAAATCTATTGGTCATCTGCTAATTGTGACCACGGAATACATTCCGTTTGAAAACTCTTGATTTCCAGAACGTAAACGGTAGAAAGAGCGACATTGTGGCTATGATAATAAAATCAGTAGCTGTTCTTTCCATTGATTTTTGATCGCTACGTTATTTTGTTCAATCATTTGATAAAGTTATACTTATGCGATCATATTTTCTTACTTCATGGCGATATCGTTCACATGTATGCTTGTTTCGATTAGCAGCTCTTGTTGACTCGATTGTTGAATCTTACAATGTAACAACCATGCAGTTTACGGTTTTTTTTTCTTCAAAATTTATCTATCATTATAATATTGTAATATGTATAGATCTTTCCGCTTGAAATTTGATATTTCCATGATAAAGAAATTGGTTCACCAAATGAAACGAGTGATGATGCATTATGTAGACTTTTGCTATCTGATTGCAATGTAAAAATGTGTAACGAAGGTTATACGCCGTTCATGCCCACAACCGTCTGGCAACGTATTTGTTTCATAATTTTTCAGCTTTTCTAAATCATGTTCATAGTCCACAGACCGGGGCAGAAAAAACCAAATTCTGTTCGGACCCTGATTTTCATTATCTTTAAAAAGTGTTTTGTAACATTCGTGTTGGTCGATTTTGCACGCAAAACGTGATTGTTCCATCTCATTGTTATCTTATGACAAAGTTCGGGTTTAAAATAGATAAGTGATAGTGTACGCAGCTGTCGGAATTCCCCATCGAAATGCACCAACTATTCACGTAGGAATGTGTAAAAATTCATCGAAGATAACATTGATTGTATGACACTTTTGCTATCAATTGTCCAACTCCGTTGTGCTCGCTACAATCATCTCAAAAATTCAAAACTATTTAAATGTGATTCGTAAGTGAAGATGAAGTTAGTTCTGTATAAATGGAATAACTGAGTGCACGAATTTCAAAAATGTTTCATCTGTTAAGTGGCTGGAAGTTCTATAGTTTGCTCATTTTGATTGGAGGAATAACGATATTTTATTACATTTTAAAGCGCGTTTATTCTTATTTTGATCGAAATGGTTTCAAAACACTTCCTGGCGTTAGCTATGTATTTGGACATCTGGGACCAACATTTATACATAAGGAACCATATGATCAGCTGATGTTGCGATTATATAATGCCACAACGGAACCAATCATTGGACTGTACGGAATCCTAAATCCAATACTAATGGTGCGTGATCCAAAGCTCATTCAATTGATTTTGGTCAAAGAATTTTCATATTTTACTGACCGCCGACGATCATCGATGAACGATCCCCGTGGTTCATCCTTATTATTTGAAGTTGGACAGAAATGGAAAAAACAACGATCAATAGTCTTGAGAAGTTTAACATCAGGGAAATTAAAGGTATTTATTCTATTCAATTTTCTATTGTACATCAGACATTCTTCAAGATCTTTTATTTCCAATTTATTTAGGATGTATTTTCAACAATTATTAATTCTGGAGTGAAATTGCAAGATCACATAGAGGAATTATATAGAAAAGGCGACCTGTTTAATGTCCAAAGTGCATCAGCATGCTATACAACAAATGTAATGGCATCTTTCGTTCTCGGTATTGACGTAGATACAATCAAAGAACCAAATTGTGATTTTCGTAGGATTGGTGATTTGTCTTTTGAATCCTTTATACGACGCATATTGGAAGCTACCAGTCCTATGTTGCAATTTTTTTTAAAATCTTCATTATCTGACAATGCTAAAAAAATCGTCAATTTCTTTAGCACCCATGTTAATGAGCAATTGAAATATCGTGAAAAAAATATTGTCAGACGGAATGACTTCTTCCAGTTGCACAGTGACATGACTTGGAACACATTTATTTTGAATGTGATCAATTTCTTCTCCACTGGTTTCAGTACAACGTCAAGAGTTATAACATTTTGTTTATATGAATTGGCCAAAAATCGTGAATATCAAGACCGTGTCCAAAATGAAATTGACAATGTGCTACAAAATCACAATGGAACAATTGATTCAGATTCCATTTTAGAGATGCAGTTTCTGCAGCAATGTATTTACGGTGAGTTTTGCCACTTGATTATTATTATTCAAACATATTATTTTAACTATTTAACTATCCATGATTATTATTTTTTCAATAGAAACGTTGAGAAAATACCCGGTGGCCACAAACATAGCTCGTCATTGTGTTCAAGATTTTAGAATACCGGGGACAAATCAAGTCATCGAGAAAGGCACCGATTTGATAATTCCAGTATATGGCTTACACATGGACGAGCAATTCTATGAGGATGCAAAAACTTTCAATCCAAATCGATTCAACAGTGATGTGGGCATGAATCATGTGAATAGGCCATTTTATCCGTTCGGTGGTGGACCTCGTAAATGTATTGGAATGCGATTGGGACAAATGCAAGTAAAAGTCGGGCTAGCAATGATGTTGCAGAAATTTACATTTCATTTGAAAGAAAACAATGAGGAAATGACTATTCACCCAAAATCGTTTCGAATTACACCTGGTCATGGATTTGAGTTGCGCATATCAAAACGCTAACAAAATATTATAAGTAATTTAAACTCTCTTTTTTTCGCACTTATTTATTTCCATTCAAATTATATTCCAATTGAAATGAGAGGTAATAAAAATCAGATGAGATTGAATATTCCATTTGAGTTCTAGGGAAAATCGTTCAATTTTGTTTTATTTTGTTCCTTCAAAACCGACGAGTATAGATCAAACTACCACTATAAGATGGTAGAGATCGGCCTCACGGCCCGCCAAAATGCTGGCCGAACTGAACGTTAGCATAAATTTCATTCTTTTTGTCTTGGCTTTGCCACACACGCGGCTGTCCTTGGATATATATATTACTGCCTCCTCCCTCAGCGATCGTGACTGTCTTCAGCAGAGGTTGATATTCTCACTATTTTCTACATATATCTAATTGCTTTGCTTTTCATTCTTTTCTTTCTTCTGAAGCAAATGGGCTGGTTCGATGGCCCCTATTTCAATCATCTTTTAGCACAATTTCAGCGTTCGAAAGCATTTCACATCGAAAATATGATTAAAATTCACGCATATTGTATTCACGTTCTCATAATAGATCCATACTCAATAAGCAAACAAGCAAAATTCTTTTAAAATTGACGAAAATAACTTATGAAGAAAAACACCATTGCGACACGATTTGCAATTCAGATCAACGTAAAGTGACGTCACCAACGATGGCAAAAAAGCTTTCGAGATTTATCATAAACAAAAGTTTTGCGCAAATACAGTCACTCATAACAATTGCCATTTTCATACAAATTACATTTAATTGTTCGTAGTTTGTGTCATCATTTCGAAGATAATGGCTCATAAAGTGTAATTTCAAATTGAAAGTTCCATGAAGTTTTCGAGTGTAATAAGAAAAAACAAACTCATGATGTTATTGAATAGAATTCTATGTAAATATTAGAGTAAATATTGTTCAAATTCCAAAAACTGAACAATTAACAAATTAATTTGAAGCGAAAAACAAGTGAAAAGAACAACAGCCACTCAACGAAACGCCATGCAAATAAGCAATTTATAAAAGCGTTCAGAAATAAGATCGACTCAGTTTGATTTCGGCTCTTGTTTTGTAGTGAGGAAAAATTTCTTAAATAAAGTTTAAATTTTGAGTTTTTTTTTTACCAAAAACAAAAAAATGATTCGAATTCTCTATGTGGTACAATTTGCGCTCTGCGTATTCGGTGCGGATATCACCGAGGAGAACGATAGAGATTTAACCAATTTTATAAGGTATTCGGTGCATTTTATTTTTTGGCTTCAATGGTTTCTTTGAGAGCAGAGATGATTTTTGTATTGCAAGACCAAGCAGATTCGTCGCATCCGAGTTGTGGTCTTGTTACAATTTTTAGCCTGTTGAAATAACGAAAATTTGATTTTGCTGAAAAGGTTACCACTTGGATACAAAAAAATGGCCCAATACTATTTAATTGGGCCAATAGCCATAGTTATAAGCTTGGATGAATAGAAACTGTTCTAAATAACATAGAAATTCTTTCCCCAATGTCTATTTATGCTAGTTTTCTGCTCTCTTTTTGCACTTGACCCTCATATTTTGATCATACTTCCAGAATCCCCTTGGAACGAATCGACGCAATGAGCTTAGACCGAAAACGACGATCATTGTTGAATGATCCATTTTTTTCGTCTATGAATTGGGGATTCGACGATGACCTTTTTCAAAACCATGATAACGATTTTCTCGATCCATCGAAAATGTTGAAGAAAATATTGAAAAATGCCGATGTCTCACTCGTTCCGTTCATGCAACCATTTAAAATCCAACCTTTCAATCATCATCAAAATAATGATGAGTCAAATGAAATAGATATTGAAGATAATAACGATGCCGAATTCAATAGTAGAAATGCAATTTTATTGAAGAATTACAACGATGTAAGTGGACAAACGTGAAAGATTTAATAATTTTCAAATTAATTAAGGATAGATAGATCCTACTTTGTAGAAAATATTTAGCGAAAAAAAATTTAAATCAATTTTCACGTTTATGTCTCATCTCAGGCGTCGTATGCAGGAAGAATCACCATTGGCACTCCAGAGCAGGAATTTACAGTCATTTTTGATACAGGTTCATCAGATATATGGGTGCCATCTTCAAAGTGTAGCCATCACAATGTCGCATGTCGTACGTATCGATTGTAAGCTATGGCATTTGCTATTGGTTCTTCATTTTTTCATTCCTTTTTCAGAAAAACACAATCGATACGATTCATCCAAGTCGAGAGATTATACGAGAGGCAATTCCAAATTTAATATTACGTATGGAACGGGCGCAGTAAGCGGTAATTACTTTTAAAATGAAGAAATAAAACCAAAAGAAGTTCTCAACTGTCAGAGATTGTATTTTTGCTGCTGGCCAAGCCTAAGATGAGCCGAATTGACTGACTCAGCACCTGAAGCGTTATTTTAACGCGTTCACGGTGCAATAGTTTGATTACTAGCAGAGATATATCTAATTGATAAACAACGGTATAATTTCCAAGCAACGACCATTTGGCACTGTGAACGCGTTAAATCAATGCTTCAAGCGCCTTAGTCAGCAAATTTAGTTTAGCTCAAGCCTGCTCAGTAACAAAAATACACTCCCTGAGTCAGAAGGTTCCTCACAAATACTACTTTGCTTTCTAATCAGGTTTCACTTCATACGATACGGTTAAGGTGAGTCGAATAGCCTTAGATTGTCGATTAAAATTCAAATTTCAAAGAAAATAAATAAAATGTTCAATTTTCCCTTTTTAGATGGCAAACCTAAAAATCCGGAAGCAAGTGTTTGGTGAAGTGACGCGAGAAACTGGCTCCACATTTGTAAATGCTAAATTTGATGGTATTTTTGGCATGGGATTTCCGTCCATATCGGTGTCTGATAAAATCTCACCGATGGAACGATTAAAAAACCAAACCGTGATCCAACACAAAGTATTCTGCTTTATTTTGCACCATAAAAATGAAGTGTTGTCGAAAAGTGGAATGGAAATTGGTGGCGAATTACAAATTGGTGGCTGTGAACACAAGCCAGCCGTGTATATTCCACTGACAAAACTTGGCTATTGGCAATTCTTAATGTCATCCGTAATTGTTACAAAACCGGGTAGTTCACCGTTCACGGCATGCTCTAATGGTTGTCAAGCAATTATGGATACGGGCACTTCATTGATCACCGGGCCAGCATATGACGTGAATATAATCAACAAAATTCTGGGCGCATATAAAAATGAGGAAACCGGTGAATATCATATTGACTGTTCGAAGAGAACCAACACTAAATCGCCAACAATAGCATTTTTAATACACGGCCTACGATTTGAATTGACGGCAAAAGACTATATTCTCCAAATCAACGTGAGTAATTAGATTCATTCGTTGCATAGAATGTTTTCATTTTTTTATCGTTTGATCAATGCAGAAAAACTTGTGCTTGTCTGGTTTTATGTCACTTTCCACCTCTCATGGCACGAGTGAATGGATCATCGGTGATACTTTTATACGAAAGATGGTCGTCATTTTTGACATGGACAAACAGCGAATAGGACTTGCACGAAAACCATCGAATGGATACTAAAAACATACTGCATAAAAGGAATCCACATCGCACATTGTTGAGAACATTGAATAAAATCGATGATTAGATTTTGCAAACTGTACGGAAAGTGCGTTTTTATTTTGTGTTGGGAAACCATGTTTTATAATGTGGAATACGAACAGAACTTAGCAATATACAAGTGTGTCTCAAAAATTCCCGAACTTTTTTAGTATGACATTTTCTGGTGGCGCCATCTATTCAAATTGACTGGCGTTAGAAAGTTACTCCCTCTGTCTCAAAATTTCATGGCATTTGGATCAGTGGGGCGGAGTTATAGTCCCTAAAGTGGCCCTTTGTTTGTGCCATCGGTCCAAAAATTGAATGTGTTGAAAAAAAGTTGTGTTTTTACATTTACAAAATATGAACAGACGTACTCTAAAGTATGCAAATCCTTTTCAGCGTTAATTGTTGATGTCTGAAGAACGTCTATGACACACTCAAGCCATTTTAAAACGTCAAAATATCTGTCAATATTGACAACAATTCGGAAATGTCAAAAATTACGATTTTTACAAAAAAGTCGAATAAACAAATCAAATTGTCAACAGAATGTCGTCAACGTTTTTCCTTAACTCTTGAGAATGTATCAACAAGTACTGATAATAGCAAATCAGAAGAGTTTTTGCGATAATTTTCACTTTTATTCGGATTTCCGAGAACTGATTTAATTTCATGATCCTGTACACTTCACAAATTGACATTTTGGACGTTGTACATATAAAATGGACCTACTTAATATGTGTAGAAAGATTCATGTTAAAATACAAAAGTCAGATGTTTATCAAAATTGTATTAAATTTCTAACTGATTTGACAGTAATTGATTAATTAATGCTTAAAACTACACACAGAGGAATGTGGTTATTATGTATATGCAGGGCTTAAAATAAGCATTCTCTTTGATTCACATTTTGCTGAAATTGACAAACAAAAACACAAGCGCACACTGCACACAAAATATTTCTAATTAGTTCTGCTACAATGGAATGCATAGAACTTCATTCGCTATGCATTCGTATACACATTTTGTATCACAATTTTTACCAAAGATCGATATCTTTTGCTTAAACAAGAAGACTGATTCTAATTCCTTTTTATTGATTCCTTTTACTGAAAACGACCACCATGGCATGAAAGTACTCATAATATAGACATGCCAAGAGACATGCCGAGTGTGTGTCCACTCATTATTATCCTAGGGATTATTTATGAAATGTTTTTGGGACGATTTTGTAATTTTTTAGGACGATTTTGGTACTTTTTGGGACGGATTTGATTTGATCCTTGCTGAACTAGCGTTAAGAAGCGTTAAAATGAGAAGAGTATAGTATACGATATGCTCGGTTACTCTTACAAACAGAACGATCATCAAGCACGTCTATGTGTATACACTTCTCACTCCAACTCAACACAAACCATTGTGCCTGGCTGCAACCGTTAGCTGTGTGTATTGTAAAAATAAACAATAATTCCGCATGATTTTTGTGGAATCTTCCAGAATACCGGCACTGGCGAAATCTGTGATCTTCAATATTCAAACCATCTCTATATTCTCAGGAGTGCGTCCCGAAATATGTCAAATGAGTTTGACATCACAGATATTAATGGATATGAGTATAATACAAACAATGCAGCGGCTAAATTCGAATAAACCGATTGAAACCGCAATATTCATCACATCAAATAAATTCACCGTTTGAACGTCGCGCTTACCGCGAATTTTGTTTAAAATAGACGTTAAATCGAGTTTAATTCATATTTTATTGGTGAATTCTTAATTCACCGTTTGGAATTTTTTGATTCACATTTTCAAATCTTGGTTCACCATTTTGGACTTGATTCACTCTTATTTTAAGCTCTGGCTATATGTTGAACATTTTAGAACATTTTCTGACTTTCAACATAACATCTGTGTAAAAATATAAAAAATACATATTGGGTGTATAACTTTGCTTCCGCCGTTTTCCAACAGATGGCTCCAGCGGTAAGTGCTGGTGGAAAATATCAGCTCTAAAACGTCATACGGTAAGCTTGGGCATCTGTCAACAATTCTGCATCATCACATTTGTAAATTTTTATCTGCATCATAAATTTTATTGTGCTCAAAAATGTCCGAGTTCGTGCCAAAAAAACAGCATTTGCGGGAGCAGTTTTTTTCATACGGGAAAAATGTGAAAAATAGATTATTCTTTTATCGAGTGGACACTGGTAGTGAAGAATGGACGTTTCTCGATAGACACAAACATATCAAACCACATTTTGATCGTGGTTTTTTGTCATTATAGGGGGCGCCACAATCACTCCCTCGAAAAAGGGTGATTTTCCATATTTGCGGGGGTGAGGCAGATATGGTGCATTGGAAGGTGGTAGAAACTTATCAAAATGTTAGCTTTTATCGTTTCCAACAAAAACTAATCGGTATATATACCAATTTCTGACAGCAAAATCGAAAAATTGACTTATCGCCGCAAAAAAAGCGAATTTTTGAGTAAATTTTTTTATTGACTTTTTGGCTATCAAGTCCAAAATTTCTAAGAAGCTATTAATTTTGAAAATCCTTTATGCCCCCGCTGTAATTTCCAGACATTGCGCTTTCTTACTACCACTGGCTTCAGTCGATTCAATATCACCTAAGTGGAGGACGGTTCACTTGTTTTTAAAAAAGTCAAAAATTGGCTTGATTCCTTTTTGGCCGCCAAGCCGACACAGTTTTTTTGGGACGGAATCCATAAATTGCCTGAATTGTGGGGAAAAGTCATAGCTTCCGATGGACAGTACTTTGGATAAATTATATTGTACAAATTTTTCACAATAAAGCCTCAAAAATTGAAAAAAAAACGGCGGAAGCAAAGTTATACACCCAATAGTTAAAGGGGTTTGTCGTTTAAAACCCCCACTGCGAATAATTATAACTAAATTATTCATTAACATGAAGAAGATAAATTGTAATGACTGTTTCAAACTTTTGTTTTACTTCTTTTGCTATAAATCTTTAATTGTAGTCAAAATTCGCTGGTTTGAATATTTTTATCGACGAACAAGCTTTTTTCACTTCATGAGCGTTGTCTATCTATACAGTGCACGAAATAAGGTCAGGGCCACTTGAGTTTTGGTGCACAAAAAACAAATTGGTTGGATTTTTTGACATTTGTTTTTGTTCGAATTTACCGTAATGCACCTTCTTGAGTCAATCGGTGCAATTTCACAATATCTATAAAGCAATTGTCATCCGAAATTCGATCTGTCAACAATGGGTGCCGGCAAACCATAAACAGAGGCCGAAAAGGCCAAAATTTCCACACTAAAAGATTATAATAATATGACAAATCGACAAAAAATGAATTTTTTTGGAGTTTGAAAAAAAAAATTTATTGTTTTTCGATACAATGTACATTAATGAGGATTAATGGCAATGGAATTTAACCCTCTGATCGTTTGTCGGGTGTACAACGCCCGAGGCGACTTTGAACTTCGAATAAAAGTACCAAAAACTGAAGAAAAAAATCACATTGAAATTGGTACCATTCGATAGCTTGAACCTTTAGCTATACACCAGTGAAATTTCATGTGCATATGTGTAAGCATGTGTGAGATATTTCCTCCCACAACACATGTGCGCGCGTACGTACGTTTCTTGGGGCGTACAACGCCCAAGTGTATTTTTTCATAAAAACTGGACTGTGATAAGAGATAACGATTTAATGTCTTCGACAAATTTGTAGTACTAGGGTCCTCTACAACTTTACTGAAGACAGATATCGCTTATCTCTTATCAGTTCCGCAAAATACGCGAAAACGCAAATATTCGATTTTCCATTTGTCACGGAACTGGTAAAAGATAAGTGATATCTGTCTTCAGTAAAGTTGTAGAGAAGATTGAGTACTAAGACACTAAGTCGTTATCTTTTATAAGAAACGCGAAAAATGATGAGAGAAATCTCGCATTTTCACGGTTTTTCGCCTTACTGATAAGAGATAACAAAATAAAGCATGTGAAAATTGTAGTACTCGAGGTCCTCTACAACTTTGCTGAAGACAGATGTCACTTATCTCTTATCAGTCAAGCAAAAAAAATTATCAAAAACCCCATATGGTGGGAGACCTTTCGCGGTTTTTCGCGTATATTGCTTAACTGATAATAAGAGATAAGCGATATCTGTTTTCGGTAAAAGTGTAGTGCCGGCTGAATACTACAACTTTGCCGAAGACACCAATTCGTTATCTCTTATCAGTTAGGCGAAAAACCGCGAAAAACGTGAATTTTCTCTTATCATCTTCCGCGTTACTGATAAGAGACAAGGAGATGGTGTCTTCAATTAATTGTAGTACTTGACCAGCTCTACAACTTTGCTGAAGGCTTACATCATTTATATCTTGTCAATTCCGTGAAAAAAGAGAAGCCGAAAATTCACGTTTTCGCGGTTTTTCGCGTATTTCGCGGAACTGATAAGAGATAAGCAATATGTGTCTTCCGCAAAGTTGTAGTGAGGGTCAAGTACTACAATTTATTGAAGACACCATCTCCTTGTTTCTTATTAGTAACGCGGAAGTCAACTTTGTCGAAGACACTAAGTCGCTATCTCATAATTCAATCAAGTTTTTATACAAAACACACTTGGGGCGCTGTACGCCCCATCAAACGAAGTTAAGGTGTAAACGCAAAAAACGATCAGAGGGTTGAATGCGTATATGCGTAAGATTTTATTTTATAAAACAATAAATAAATTTAAAAAATTAATAATTCGCGCCAGGACAAACAATACATGAGTGAAATTTGTTTTGAATGAAAGAGACTTAAGGTAGGAATACACCTTGCAAGTAAAATGCTTGCAGCAAGCATTTTTTCCAACTTACTTTTGTATTCGATTCCAAGAATGACACTTGCATGCAAGTAAAGGTAGTGTAATACATTAGTGTAAATTTTGTTCAATATTTCTGTTCAAGCGTCCACAAGGTAGGTTGATATGATCGATTTTATAAAGATATGTATAACTGTTTACAGAGTGCTCACCAGGAACGCATATATGATTCCCATGTAATTAAGCGCATTTGGCTAGTCCCATTTTTATAATCAACAACACATATATGTACAAGTACATGATGACCCTTCATCACGAATTGACAAAAAAGTCCCTTTAAAGTAAATTCATATCATCACTGTGCACTCCAACATCACATACACTAAATTCCTTTGGTGCACACATTGTTTTTTCATTCCATCTGAACAAACACAAAAGTGGTGTGTTGGGCTAAAGCTGTTTTCGAAAATGATTATTCGTTTGTTGTGCGACGTTTCGCTCTAATTAGGAGCATCATCAGGCTGGAGAACAAAAATGTACACAAAAAACAATGAGTAAGTGTTAAAACAATTGGCAACAGCCGAAAATAACCAAATTACGAACCAGCTACATCTGAATTTAAAATGTTTTCGAGCGTATTCCATATTTTTCTATCAATTTCCACAAATTGTATCAGCTACACGTGTCCATCAAAGGAATTTTGTTATTGAGCTTCATTTAGTCTCTGAATATGATTACACTATACAACAACAAGAAACAACCACAGAGAAAAGAACTTATTTCCAATGTTTTTGGGTCCACTTAATCCAAATCTGGCGTTAGTTTGTCCTGGCATGTCTAGTTTTCAAGATACATTCATTGCTGTTTCAGTATCAGATTTGGATTAAGTGGGCCAAAAAAACCTTGGAAATGAGTCTCCTCTTTTTGGGAGGATTTCGTTTTCGAAATTTATTGCATAGTGTTATTAGACCTGAATTAATAAATTCCATAACTGAAAAATATCACAATTCATCAATTATTGATTGCATGGCACGTGTCAGCTATCAGTAGATGAATGGTATAAAAGAGGCAGCACCGCACGGGGAAGACAAAACGAATTCAAAGGATCTTCTTAAGGAGTACAAGACGGTTCTCTACTATCATTGTGCAACAGGTTAAAACTCTGTTTGGTTGGCAAATTAAAATGAATCTACTGCACGGTTTGTTTTCGGTGCTATTTATCGTTGAATTTTCGGTAAGCTTTTTTCTATTCCTTTATCATTTTCACTTTTATCCAATAAAATACGATATTTCTGTAGAACTGAAAATTAACACGAAATTTCTTTTTCTAGGAACTTCAAGGAAAACGTAAGACATTTTTGGTTTTCGAACACGCTTTTTACAATTCCAAAAGATTGTTTCATACTTTTATAATATTCAATTCGAAATTTCAACTTTTTTTCTCATGAACAGATGGCTTTTTCTCACAAGCTCTTTTCAAGGGCGAAGTGATTGAAAACATGTCACAGGCAAAGTTTGTAGCTGGAATCCTTGCCCCCACAAGTAAGTCTGTTTTAGAATAATTTTCTTATTTTTTCGTGTGAGTTTTTGTCCGAAAAAATCAAATATTCTATCCATTTTGCTAGGGGCTGACCACGCTTCAGAAAATTGAAAATAATACTAGATTTTATCATTTTTTTCAAACAATATATTATTTACAACTGTGAAATTTTTTTCAAATTTCTCCAGAAACGATTTACTGCAAATGATAACTCTCAATTGTGTCGTTGAGAATAAAAATGGGATTAGCCGAAACCGCTCATTTGCATGTGAATCATTTTTGTGTTCCTGGTAAGAGATAGAAGACATATGTCTGCTGCAATGTTTTAGAAAATTTCAAGATCTTTATCTTTGCTTGAGATACTTGCCCCATATCTTGTACCAGAAACACAAAAATGATTCGTATAAAAACACGCGGTTTCGGCTAATCCCATTTTTATTCTCAACGACACAATTGTGCGTTGTTATTAAAACGAATATGCATTTCTGTCGTTTTACTGTCAGAAAATTTATAACATTTTGGTGGTCAAATGTATCGTTCATAGTGGATTATAGATTTAGTCAAATATTTTAGACAACATACAGATGCTCAATGAAGTAGCGGACTTGTCGGACGCAAGTGAATTGCTTACGCGACGCGCAAACGAAATCATACCTCGGCCAACTTCGATGTACCGAATATAGGTTAGATTTCACGTTAAATATCGAATGCACTGCATATATGATGCTTCGGCAACTCACGAAGCGCCAAAGCAAGTGAAATGCTAAATCCACGAGTGTGCCGACAAGTCCGCTACTTCATTGAGTGGTATTAAAACTGAATGATAGAAACGAATTTTGTAGATGAAAAATTCGCGGTTTCCCCCTAGCAATTTTGTGTGTGTGTTCATTTTTTCTTTAAATATTATTTCTTGTACTGAGAATGAAACGATTTTATTACAAAATATTTGCATGAATACAAAGACCATCCAAATGATGCCAATACAATAATGATGAGTACTTGTACCGCATTTATTCTGTCGAAAACGGAAATTATCACGAATGCCCATTGTGTGGATGACGTCCCATATGTTTATGTGGTAGCTGGTACGAAAGATGTATCAGATGTAAACTCGAAAATTATAATCGAAGTCGAAAAAGAGAACATTGCATGTCACCCTCATTATAGTCATTTAATTGCTGGTGCATTTGATATTGCCAAAATTACACTGAAAACGCCGTTAGAATTCAGCGATACCGTTGGTAGTATCGGAATCGTGGATAAGGATTACAAATTGAATGACCCATCAGAAGTGGTCACTGCCTATGGATATGGCGTGTTGAACAATATCAGACCGATATTGAGGCGTTGCGATGCAAACTATGTGTCTGATGTCGAACGAGCCAACACATTTAATCCAAGTCAGACTTTGTGCTTTACCACTGGTGAAGCTACGAATGATGGCAAAATTATTACACACGGCGATTCGGGTGGACCAGTCGTTTCAAAAACAAATGGCAAAATAGTGGGGATAACAATGGGTATGAATGGAACGACAGATGGTCGCGGATCGTTCCTTCCAATTACTCTATTTCTTGATTTTATTCATGACCCAAAGGTATCTAATCACAATGCCCCAATGTTTATTCTCAACAACGCAAACAAAATCATTTTTTGCATTAATTTCAGAGCGTGAAACCAATTTCACCTCCACTTACACCTAACGAAGCTAAATTTATAGCCGATGTAACGGTACCGGCAAGTAAGTGTGCATTCGAAATTTGAACTAAATCAAACCATTTTTAACGTCACTTTTTTTATATTTTAAAGAGAGGAGAGGCAAAAGTGGGGATTTTTCATGATTTATAAACATAAATATTCATTCTGAGATGTTTTTCTATTACAGAATTTCTTACTGCCTACAAGAATGTTTATGCAGATGCTGACGAAGATGTTCAACTAAAATTTAATGCAATCATTTTGTCGGAAACGGAAATTTTGACCTGTGCGCATAATGTGTTCGGCGCTCCATATGTCTACATAACCGCTAATAAACTATCAAGTAATGCAACAAAACTTAAAGTCACTGAAGACCAGATAGAAATTCATGAGAAATACGCATTATCTGGATTCGCATTTGACATTGCCAAGATTACACTTAAAGAACCGTTGGAGTTCAACGATAACGTCGGCAGCATCGATTTGGTGCACAAAGATTACAAAATGAATGACCCGTCCGAAATGGTAACTGTCTACGGTGATACGGTATTGGATGGAACAAAGAGACCTAGGCGTTATGATACAAAGTATTTGGATGGCGCCATTTGCAAACCGAAAGTGGGCGCTGTATTTGATGCAAATCATTTGATGTGTTACACTTTAGATGGGAGCATGGGAACTCCCTTTACGTTTGGAGGTCCAATGATTTCGAAAAAGAATAACAAACTCGTGGGCATGACCATATGTCATTCGCGTGGTAAGCCAGTTGTTTTTCAACCGATTGCACCGTTGTTTGATTGGATCCGGAGCCCAAATGTAAGACGTAATCAAAGAAGAAGAATATAGGCTTGAAAAAAGGGGTTTCAGGCGCCTGAAAAAGCTGAATACCGTCTCTTTTTTTGTTCTTGTCATTTGATGTTCAATAAAAGAACCGAATAAATTTGAAAATTTGAGAAAAATGCATTTTATTTTACATTCGCCCATGCGCAGTTATATAATTATCTAAAATAATTGCGATATATATAACAACGGGGTTTTTATACAAACTTTTGCCCCCACACAGGCAAAAATCGAAAAAGGGTAAAAAATGTCAAAACTATGATTTCATCATTGCAATCATACAATTGACACCCATAGAACGAATGAACAACTTATGAGCTCTTTATCCATAACTGAGACGGAAAAAACTTCGAGCAAAAAATAGACAAATAAAGTTGCGGGCAATGTGTCACTTTTGCTACTCAGCATTGAGCGGAAAAGACGTTTTTTTCCATTTTTCCCACTACTGAAAATAGATAACGATTAGGTGTCCTCGGCATTGTTGTAGAAAATAAAAAGAACCACAAATAAGTATAAACATAACAATAATATATCAATGATTTACAAAATTCGAAAGGGACTAATGAAAACTAAATACCATGTCAACAGCACAAGCAACCATAGATATCCGACGAGTACTAACACAAGGCCGTGTTTCGGATGAGCACGTACCAATCTTGGACTCAAAAGCATTTACCGTAATTGCACTGAGCTCTATCACGAACATATGCCAACCAATTGCCTACTGCATATTCTCTTAACACGTTTAAAAAGCGACTCAAAGAAATGATTCTTATGTGATCGTTCGTGCAGTCATTTCGCTCCTAATTTATAATAACTAACGCCTACTAACTCTTTTTCTTTTTCTCTTGAAATTGCTTTAAAATGTAATAAGAATGTAATAATATTGTGTAATGAATATAATGAAAAAAAAAATTGCAATCGACCATCCGTATG